AAAAACGAACGGACGGGAAGACGCCGGCTATTTTGTTATTCGAATTGTTATCCTTAGTTTACAAATGTTCTTTTAAAAGAGATAAAATTACCGTTGGTAAAATGTATTTATTAATTTAAAATAATTCAATTTCTATATTGAATAATTATTATTTGAAATTACGTACGATACTTCTTACAAGTATAATGTTTATTTTCAAAGCATCTTCCTAACTGTCCTTAGGACTTTTATTATGAATTTTTCATATTTCAATTATGACGATTCTTTGAAATGGTTCTACTGTTGTTCTTTCAAACGTCGCATGTTTCTATAACATTTACGATCGAATTGATCGAGAAATAATACAACGTAAGATACGAGAAATGCGAGATACTAAGGAGGGGAAAAACAAAATAGAAAAAAACAAAAAAAAAAAGAACAAAAAAAAAAGAAGAAAGAAAAAAGAATGAAATAAAAGAAAATAAATCGTGAAATAATTGAACGATAATTTTTTTTTTTTTTACGGGCAATCTTTTGGAAGAAACGAAAACATTTGTTCAGAAAGCGTTCAGTGAAACGCAATAATAGAATTTTCTATTTCAATTTTGAAAATAGCATTTTCTCGTTTGTTTCTATATCCACATAATGGAAAGTAAGTAAGCGTAATAAGAGATAGTTGGAAAATTGTGAGAAAATCGTCGAGAGAATTTAGAAACGCATGATTTATTCTATCCTTCTTTAACCTCCACTCCTTAGCCTCTATGAGGCTTCAACTATCTCGTTCTTATATACATACCACGACTCGCACACGTTTGTTGACTGATTCGAGGATTATCGAAGTGGTTCACAACTTGGCGGATATTGAGTGAGCATCCATGATCGTTTGCATGCGAAAATCAAGGACAGTACGAGCTCGCAGATCTCATTTCAGACTTCCTAGAGAACAGACTCTACGGAGAGAACGGGAGTACGTTTTGGTCGAGAAGGCGGTTTGGCTTAACTCTTGAGAATCTGGATTCGAAACCACCTTCGAACTACTCGCAAGACTTCGCTAGAACTAGATCTCTCTCTCTATCTCTCACTCTATCTATCTGTCTAACTCTATCTCTATCTCTATCTTCATCTCTATCTCTCTGTCTATCTTTTGCCCCTAAGGGTATACAATTTCTCTTACTTTCTCTCTCTCTCTCTCTCTCTGTTTCCTCCCTGTTTTCTCGTTTTAACTCTCATTGGCTTTTCGTCTTTACGTCCATCTTCTCTTTGACATCGTATTAACGTATCTCAAGTTTTCCACTTCAATTTGATAATTAACATGCTTTCAATCAAGTCATAATGAAATTGCAAAAGTTTACTCGTTTTATTTAGATATGTACTCAAGGATCAGAATCCTTCGTATATAACTTCTGCATTTGTCATATGTAGAATATATATATATATATATATATATATATATATATATATATATAATATATTAGTTAATAATTGTATTCCTTGATTGTTATACAACATGTGTATGTATTTTAATAACAAGGAAAAATCAGGTAAAAATAAACGAACAGGAAAAATTGTGTTTTACTCGGGAACGATATGGGAGGTAACAAATTGCAATGTTTGTTTCTCGTATAGTAAACGAAAAGATAAATCGTACAAATATGTTTGCTCGACGTAGGTCAAGTAGCGGGATAAACCCTTGATAAATTGTACTCGAGAGTATCCCGTTGTAACATCAACAAATATTATTGGCTAAGTCGATGTAATCGTCAAATACAATTGATTCGTTGTACGCATGCCGAAAAACAAAACGTATTACGTTAAAATGTTGATGAAATGGTCCTATACGGTTAACCAAGAGAGTAAGATCGACAAATGACTGATCGTCGTTAATTAATTCATATATTCGATCTTATGAATTATTTTCGAATTAATTACCACGCACGATAACTTTTGGAGACGTGTTTTATTAACTTCGTAATAAATTTATCAAATAGGGGCCAGGCAAATGCTATTGCTTATGTTTACGGAACACGAAAAATATTGAGTGGAAAAAAACTTGTAATTTATAAAAATGAATGAATTTATTAGCTATCAAATCGTCGTTATGTTATCGTCAATTTATAGTTCCAAATATTCACGATAGAGAAGAAATCAAGTTCGTGATGATGTACTTATGAATTTCAATTAATTTAATACTTATCGTTCCATTCGACTCGAATGGCATTTATGAAAATTCATAGTCCACGTCTGACGTAGGTGTATACGTCAGACGTATATACCTACTTTTGAAATACTCGGTATAATCAAAACGGCATTAAAACGTAGAATAATCCCTCCCCCCCCATAAGAGTTAGAAGTTTGATTATAAATATCTAAAACTCAATAAACATTCGATCCTTCTTATATACAATGGACGAACATATTCGGAACAGATAATAAATTTCAATTATATTTACTTAAATTTAATAATGTTTTAATAGTTTAAAACTTATTATTACTACTTACTTTAATTCATGATTTGCTTATTTTGTTCGGTTTTAAAATTATGCGAAAATTAACGAAAAGTTAACGTTAATGAAACGATAATATACTCGTTAAATGAGTTCCTAATTGATTTTAATTGCAACTCTGGTAAGTACGTACCTTTTTTTTTTTCTTTTTTTCTCACCCTCGTAGTAAAGTCCTAGAAGTAAAAGTAGCAGAGCTTGGCTTGTCCGTTGTCGGTTTTTGCCGGTGCTATCTCGCCTCGTAACTCAAAGAAACTCCACGGGAGCGGAATTATCTTTTTTCGCGCTGCTTCCTTCATCTTTCCCCGGTAACTTCCAGGAGACCCGCGAAAAGTGAGAAAAGACAAAACGTTCCGTCGGTTTTCTTGGCAGCGGCTTCGCTAACTTGGCGAAAATTGAATAGATAGCAGGAACGGACGGGAAGTGGTGCCAAGTTTTCCATGAAAGAGAGAGAGAGAGAGAGAGAGAGAGAGAGAGAGAGAGAGAGAGAGAGAGAGAGAGAGAGAGAGAGAGAGAAAGAGATAGATAGATAGAGAGAGAAAGAGACGATATTCCCTCGTGGAAAATGTTCCTCTATCCAGAAATTCGAAGAGAACGTATTCTCCTTCTGCTGTATCTACCGTCTGGCAATATCCTAGAAGACAGGATTATTAGAATAGATAAGTTTTCGCCATGGTAATTTGATTCTTGAAAACGTTTTACGAACGAATAGTGTAAAGCCACTATAACTCGTTTGATATACGGTGTCCATCTCTTTTCACTTTCTAACAAATTTTTTTTCTCTTCTCTTTCCTTTTATTCGAAATTTCTTTTTTTTTTTTTTTCATATATTAAAAACTTTCCCATTTGTGGCTACTTATTTATCGGACATAAAGGAAAAATCTTAATACACGCATACTACAAATCATCATCTCACTTTCGCTTTAATCCTTACTTAACATTTTAATGTTTTCTTCGGATCTGTAAAAGAGAATTTGAAAAATTCCCGATCCGTCGGTATGAACACGTTGATTCAATTTCCCGTTAGGTAGCGCCAATGCTCGGCATCAAAATTACGAATTTAGTTTAATATACTTATATAATTATCTAGTTTGAAATTATATAAAAATTTATGAATGCTTTTGTTCTTTTGTTATTATAAAAAATCTATTATTAATTTATTAGAATTTTATTCATTTTGTTTTATAGCATAACTCATTTAAAATTAAATACTTTATTACATGATGATATTAAGGAATAAAAGAAACAAAGGGTACAAAATTATTAATTGAAATCCTATAGCTTCGTGGGACAATGAATTATATTAAAATGTTAGACTCAGAACTGTAGTTAACAAACTTTATTAATTTTTATTAATATCTCTTGGTTTTGAAATACCATTAGAATGCTCAAACAGAAATGTATCAATGTTGAACATAATCATGTTAACTTGGATAATATTAAGGAAAGTAAACAATATATTATATAAAGAATTCATAGATAAAATATGCATTTTGTGAATCTCAGTTAATTTAACTTGAACAATTAAACATTACCTGTATCTGTAAAGTATTTGAAAGGATCCTGAAGAATTATATTCAATGGTGGTATGAAAATGATCACATTATCTTGCAATTGCAATTTGAATTTCTTAAATGAAGATTAAGTCATTTAGATAACAAGAGGTAGCCGTTCTTTTCTTAATATATTTATTATAATATATCTAATGTATCTATGAAAGCCTTTTCTTTCAAAGATTTAATGAGAGATTGTAAAACATATTTACAAAGAAAATAAGCTTTAAGAACAACCAGGATAAGGTTCTTCTCTAACTGTTCTTGTTAATAATTGTATTTTTCTTGTCATATCCTCGTCATATATAGCTTTACACTTTTCAAAATTAATTCTTCGCCTTGTCCTTGTTGGTCTCTCGAAGTATCTGGTTAGCCTGTATTGTTGGAATAAACCTTCAGCATTAAGAATGCGATTTATAGTACGTGCTGCCTTTTCAATATCATTGTTCTTGACAAATATCGTTCTGGCAAGAAATTGTGTATGCCTTCGCAAATTCATCTAAACATATATCACATTATTATTATCGATAAGATATTATCACTACGTTATTTCGTTGATATAATTTACAATATGATATAATTTACAAATGTGATTTTGAGGTTAGGTCCTTCTTTATGTATTTTGACGAAAGAAATATAATGATCTATTATTTCAAGAAAAGATCGAAAAATAGAAGAGAAATAATCTGATTGATATTGTAATTATCTAATTAATAAAACTTACTTTTTTCACTGATCCGTATAATTGTATTATATACGTAACAACATACAACTGAATGCTACGACGTATCGAAGATCTATGTATACAACAAGGAAACAAAAGCGCCATCTAGAACGTTACTTGTATCTACGCATGCGTCGAGGATCAATATAAGAATAATTCACAGATTGTATTGCAAATAAATACAATTTCATAAAATTAATAGACAATTCATTATTTTTACGAATTATTAGAAATAATTGTTAATTCTTTGTTTCTGGTATGTGATCACAACTGAATTGTAAATGGCCCAAAAATATCATATTGAGAAGCGTGATAATGAAAAAGTACATTATCAAACAATACAAAACCTGTTAAATTGATTAAATAAAATATTTGAATATTATTCTTAATATAAAATTATAAAAATTAATGATTAAATGTAATAATTACTTGATGATCCTTCATATTGTATCGAAAACCCCATCGACATAAACAAAGCCACGTACTCAAAGACAATAAAAGTAGGACGATGGTTGACGGAGATGTACAAACGTAAACGTTGAACATTTGTTTCTAATATTTTTGTGAATAATATAATTCTGCTTTTTTTTTTATCTTTGTCCATTCGATATATTATGTGATTTTTTCCACCATTTTTCTCTTATACCGTTCTTACCATCACAAAAAGTGTGATTTATTTATATAATGATTATAAATTATGTTATGGACGATGAAAATAAAAGTAGAAATTTGGCAATATCTAATTACAATTGAATCTTCATTAAATAATGATAGATGCATAATTCTTGAGATTCATTCACGATTACGCGAAAAAAATTTACTATATTTTATTCTTAGTTTACGAATTATTTTTTACTTTCGTCTCATGATGTCTTCAAAATGATAAATTTATCAAAATGATTATGGAATGAATTTTGATCGTTTCATTAGTACGAAGAATTTTTACGACTAACCTTATCATTATTTAGAACAGACGAAATTCGTCACTTATTGACATTTATCTACTTCTAACGGGTGTACGAATGTGAAATAAGATATTAAACTGTTTGGATAAAAATCGAGTATTAGTTGAGATTTATCGTAATACGTAGTAATGTTTATTAATCACTATCGATAATCTTGGCTTACAAAATATACGGATTAACGTAATTCTTAAGCGATAAAGTAATGACATGTTCGTTAAATCACTACAAGTACCGATTCTTATTTGTAGCCAGGTATAAATGGCTCGAATAAACGTTTACATTGTAGATAACATTTATAACGATTATTCGTATCACGTCGAATCATTTTCATCGCGTTTGTCTTCGCGTTAATTTTATAATAATTAACGTTTCCATCTTACATTTGAGAACACAGCTTGCAAACACAGTCTCCGTTCCATTAAATGCATTTATTAAATACACCGTAGTTCTTACAACGTGTATTACTCCCTTTTTTTTTTTTTTCTTTTAATTACTATTCAAGCTCTTCATTATCTTCTTTTCTTTTTTGTTTCCTCACAGAAATCATTTTTTTTCCGTTCGAGCGATTACAAAAATTGACGAATGATTAAATAACTTAGCGATCGAATTCGCATATCTCACGACGACGTAACACAAGATAAATTTTCCGATTGCGAACATTTTTCCGTCTGAAAATCCGCGACAAGAAATCGTCATTAACTTAACAACGCAATTAGAATCTAAGAATTCGATCTTAATCGTTTACTGCAAATCTTTTTAAGCTTATCGACTTTTCTCGATTAAATCTACTAATTGATAATGCAATAGGTAATCTATTCTCGTTCCTTTCTATTTTATCACCTGTGCCTTTTTTCTTTTCTTTTCTTCCGTGATAACAGAAAAAGAAGAAAAAAAAGAAACGATCGTTTTATCTCGTTAATTTTTCCTTTCTATCTTTCCAATGAGTATCGATAGCTCTTTCGATCTCGAACGATTTTTCTTTTTCTTTTTTTAAAATTCATATAAATGAGAAAAAAGAAACTTTAAAACGATCGCTAGCACTCTTCTGACGAACTTCTCTCTCTCTCTCTCTCTCTCTCTCTCTCTCTCTCTCTCTCTCTCTGTCTTTCTTTCTTTTTCTATCCTATCCTTTTAAATTTCTTTTACAAACTATCATAAAGTATATTTACATATTTCGGTATGTATCATGATGTTCTACAGAAAATCTTTACTTCTCTCTTTCTTTCATTCTTTCTTTCTTTCTTTCTTTCTTTCTTTCTTTCTTATGAGCAACTTCTCGAAGGTTGCTAATCTTTTGAAATATCAATCGAATTATACGATTGCCTCCATAGAGCACCATTATAAAAACCCTTAGAGCTACAAGTGTGCGTTGAATGACTTAATATTAATCACGGACTCTAGTGTACAACGAGAAGCCGTCGTGATTTATTTTGAAAATTATTTCAATATTATATTATATAATATATATGTATGTATGTATGTATGTATGTATGTATTTATGTATGTATGTATGTATGTATTATATGTATATATGTATATATGTATATATGTATATATATATATGTATATATATATATATATATATGTATGCATGTAGAGATATCGTTATACGTATTAAGTATAAATATCGTTGACAACTTTTCCAAATATCGTAAGAGATCGTAATTAATTTCGTAATTTAGACACGATTAGGTATATGATTTTCAATCGTTAGAAGACGATTCCATTTAAGTTTTTTTTTTCTTTTTTTTTTTTTTTTGCGATATGACAAAGTTCGATAAAAAGACGGCTATGGTTTCTTCATTAATGAAGAAATTTCGTTATTAGATATATTTATATCATAATGGCTGAAGTTATTTTTTTTTTTTTTTTTTTCGTTAAAAGTATAATAATAGATAGGTATATATTAATCGACGATCGAAAAATTCTTTTTTGACAATTACGTCGGTTTATAAAATTCAACGAATTCGAATGACGATGAAATACGAAGAGAGTTGTAGGTATTTATTTACACGCTTGATTTTGACATTCGTAATTCGATGAATATTACAAACGTCTCTTATTTTCTTTTCTTTATTTTTTTTTTTCTTTTTGTTTACTTTTTTCACGTTTTTTTTTCTCTCTCTATCGAAATCATACTCGACTATCGATAAGTTCGGAAGAGTTCGATCAACGAACAAAAAGTATCGAATACGTGGGTATATATACTTTATAGGTATATTTATAATAACGACAGGATAAAAATTCTTTTTCTAAAGTCCGTCTCTCGTTAGCGTATTTTATATGTATATATTTAATATTTTAAATTTCTTATAATCGTGCCGAGTTTATTTAAATATCAATTAAATGCAATTTCCTACTTGTTCGAATGTTCGAACACATTTTTATGAATGTTCATCGCGTTTTTTCTCTTTCCTTTTTTTTTCTTTTCTTTCTTTTTTCTCTTTATCTATCTCGCGACACGACGATGGCTTCCTCGTTGCACGCTATCGAAATCCAACTTTTATTTCCTTTTTTTTTTTAAAGCCTATCATGCCCGAGATATTTTTGGAACAAAACTAAGCGGTATCTCGCGATCTAATCACGAAAGATTCATTTTTTTTTTTCTACTTTCTTTCAATGATCCATCCGCTTTCTAAAAAAGCATTTCTAATCGCGATGTTTATTCTCTTTCTCCCTCTCTCTCTCTCTCTCTCTCTCTCTCTCTCTCTTTCTCTTGTGATGCTTCAAAAGACAATAATCGCAACAACAAGCGTGCACTCATCTCGTATGCTAAATTACGAAAACAAAGTCCATCTCGACTTCAATTTTTTTTCATTTTTCTTTTTTTTCTTTTTTTCTTTTCATTTTTTTTTTTCATCTTCTCTACACTGATAAAGTTTCCTAAAATATTTCAGGCACGCTCCTTATAACTTTACGTATTACATCACATTCGAAAATAATTGCTTCTTCTTTTTTTTTTCCTCCGTCCGCAACGTATCCACAAAAATCATGCGAAACTTATACGAAAAGTTTCTTCCATCTCTCTCCCCGCCATTTATCACATTCTCTCTCTCTCTCTCTCTCTCTCTCTCTCTCTGCCTCTCTTTTACCCTCTCTCTTTCTCTTTCTTTATCTCTTTCTTTATCGGAAGGAAGAAAACCACAGCAAATGTGACCTCGATCGTGAGAAAAATGCAGGTAGCGTATTTGTGAATATATGCGCATTTATGTATGTATATATATGTATGTACGTAATATATAGATATATTTTATAATCATTTTTCCTTTGAAGTTGTGAGCACTAATGGTAATGAAAAAATATTTCTCCGCGTTGGTGAATCAATGGATATGTTTCCTTTAAAATTCCTTTGCACGTCCGTACATATATAGCATATAAATTATTACTCTCTCCTCCCCCCTCTCTCTCTCTCTTTCTCTCTTTCTTTCTCTCTTTTCTGTTTTTTTTTTCTACAGTCTGCATTTTATACCAGGAGCGAGGATTTTACCAAAAACTTTTGATTGAAATCATATAATGAACGGTGCGACGAATTCATTAAAAAACTATCGCATTTCTAATAAGATATATAATAATATATCGATAACACTCGTCGCTTTTCCGTGTTTTATTCACGCAGAAATTCTGCTTTCTCATTCTTTAATTATTATTTAATTTCTTTCTTTCTTCCTGTCTTTTTCTTTTTTTTCTTTCTGTTTTCTTCTTTTTTTTTTTTTTCCCTTATCGATAATGAATAACGCTCGTCACTCTGTGAGAATCGCTCGAAGCGAAATGAAATATAAGAAAGGACGTTGTACGTGTTCCTATGATATAAAGAAGCGATCGCGAGTTAGGATTCTAATTCTAGAGTCTCTAAACGCTCTTTTCGTCCATAATAAAGATTAGGACAGTTTCGATCACATTCATCTTTCTTTTTCTTCTTTCACTTTTTCATTAACTTTCTCTTAACGTTCTTAGCGTTCTACGATAAGAATTAAAACTTAATGTCTAAGAGTTATTTTCTCTCTCTCTCTCTCTCTCTCTCTCTCTCTCTCTCTGTCTATACATTTAAACATCTTAAACATCGATTTATGTTTCATATATGAAGCACATTAAACAATACGAATATCGTCTCGGTATGTTTCACTGTTGTGGGTTCATTAATCTAGCGTGAATGAAATACAATCTTTTTTAATTTTCCCTTTCATCTCACGCTGATATATTCTATCGTCGTAAAATTTTCGACATCAAAGTTCATCTTCTGACGTATATATATATATATATATATATATATATATATATATATATATATATATATATACGTCAAGTTATCTAATATTTTTCTAATAGGACGTCTTAAATAGATCGGGATCGTAGAGTTGGGGAGAAAAATTTACAAATTCAAAGATCTAAATTCAATATACATTAGTACGTCACAAATTTCATTTTCTAGCGTGAAAAATTTTTATCTACGATCCATGTAAAAGCAAAGGCCCTAACACTCTCTTTCTCTCTGTCCCTCCTTTTCCTTCTTCCTCTCTGTCTCTCTCTCTTTCTCTCTCTCTCTCTCTCTCTCTTTCTTTCTTTCTTTCTTTAAAATATTACATGACGTCTCTAAAAAAAATTATCGCAGTATGATGAGAGAAATGAATTAGCGCAAATAATTGGCGCGATATCTATTGAAATTTTTGCAAACTTTGAAAACTTGTGCGCTTTCAAAAGCATAAAATTCGACTTCGAACAATGCATAATAATAGGTAATCGAAGATATCGATCAGATTAAGATTAACGGATCGATTTTAGAGCCATAATTACGTTCGTCTATTCGGACGTAGATATATATGTATAGAGTGAACTATTTAAATAGGAACGTCGAAAGATCTTTCGTTTTGTTTATGGACGAACGTTAAAGATCCTCCTTAATGGGGGGAAAATAATGAGCAATGTAAGGAAATACTTTAATTTTATTTCCAAATGTCATAACTTTTCCCTAAGAGAAATATTTTTTTTTTTTTTTTTTTTTTTTTTTTTTTTTTTTTTTTTTTTTTTTTTCTTTTGTACACCCATAAATAGGAAAGAGACGTTCGATATTTCCCATTAAAATGTTTCACCCTGCATATTATCGGATACCTATCTCTTTAGCTTAATTTCCCATTCGTCGCATTTATTATCCCATTATTATTTATTATCCCTGTATATTCCAAAAAGGCTAATACTTTCTTAACTCGAGAATATGAGCTAAGGAAGGATCACCGTTCGTCGAGTTCGTCGCCATTTACAAGCTTATCTTCGAGCTAATCTTTCACTTAATATTTTTTCTTCTTCTTTTTCCTTTTCTTCTTTTTTTTTGTCTTTTTTTTCCATTATAGTTATTATTATTATTATTATTATTATTATTATTATTATTATTATTTTTCCTTTTAAAAAATCAGCTTAAAAGCTAGAAAAGATTGTATCGCCGAAGCTCCTTTTATCATTTTTATAATAATCTCGCAGGAACTTGATAAAGTAAGATTAATCTAAAGCGAACGCTTTCATTTGCATCTCTAAACTATTTATCTATTATTTTCATTTATCTTCGCTAAGCACGATGAAGGCGAATTCGTGTCTTTCGAAAAATGCGATAAATAATTTAACGATCTTTGCTACTAGGCACGTGACACATCGACGATAGAAATGGTCATACATTTTCTCCCATATTAAATTTCTCTCCTTACGCGAAATAAAGAAGATCTTCGCATTAATCTAAACAAATTTCTTATTGTGACATTATGGCGAAAGTAAGAGTATATCAAACGATCGTTTACGAGGTGAAAGTAAAGATCCGATCGTCGCGGCATATCACGAGATATACTATTTATACACCGTATATATCATATACCTTTTTATTTTATTTTATTTTATTTTATTTTTTTCTTTTTTTCTTTTTTTTTTCTTTTCTTTTCTTCTTCTTCGTCTCCTTCTTTTTCTTCTTCTTCTTCTTCTCCTTCAACATCTTTAATAAGGGCAGTTGCTCAGACTTATATCTTGACGGGATTGTAATATGGATTATTCCGAGTTCGAACGCGATTTCATTAAACCCTTCATGTAACGACGTCTTTTTTTTTTTGCAAGAGGATCGATCGATTTTGTCTTTTTTTTCCCTTTTCTTTTTTGTTTTTTGGGTTTTTTTTTTTTTTTTTTTATATATATATATGTTATTTCGATGCACAAAGGGTTCCTACAAATTGACTTTGGCGTGGGCGAAACTGAACGGAATAACAAGGTTTTCCTTTTTTTTTTCTTTTTTTTTTCTTTCTTTTTTCTTTTTCTCTTTTTTCGCCGATAAATTTACATACTTTCTTTCTCAAGAGAGGTACGATTCAAAATTCAACGTTATCTCGAAGAATAAAGAACGATAAACACGTTAACAATAATAATAACAAGTAGTAATAATAATAAGAATAAGAAAATGAAATCTTTCTCGCGTTATCGTCAAATCGAATTTATTTTCGTTGACGGTGGAAATAATATATATATATATATATATATATATATATATATATATATATATATATATATAATGTAATATACGTATGTTAAGAGCGGGCGCGTGGGCGCGCGCATAATTCTAACGATTTTGAAACAGAAAATACGTTTCTCAATTTTCTATCGGAGAAACGTTACATACGCGAAATCCCATTAGAAAATTTACAATACGAGAAATATGTATACACTTACGTCGCTACATCTCGTTTAACTTTATGATTATGTCGTTATTCGTGTCTTCTTTCGCGTATAGTGTATATATTATTTATATGTATATATGTATATGGATGTCATATCTCATCTCGTTCAATGGTTTAATTCACTTTTTTTTTTTAAGGATTCTTTCAAGACGTTCGATTAAATGCATGACGAATACCTTCGTTCTTTTTTCTCCCCTTTTTTTCTTCCTTTTTGTTGTTTTTTTTTTGTTTTTTTTTTGATACATTTTATTTTTCTTTTTTTTTTCCTTTTTTTTTTCTTGGAACACAAAGAGTGGACCGCAACTTGAACAACGTACGACGAAGGGAAGTCAATCTTTGATTGGTCGATCATTGACTACCCTTGCCAAATTAGCGCGTTACTTTTTTCCCTTTTCTTCTTTTCTTCAAAAAAGAAATTTCATTCGTGAATATTCGCGTTCAATGATGACGATATTAAAGCGACTTTATTTTATGTAATGAATTCTTTTTTGAAGGAAAGAAAAAAAAAACCCGCTCTTTAATCTCAAATTATCTTAAATCATCGACGTATCGTTTCTCTGTCCGAGCCATTCTACGTCAATCGATTCGATTTTCAATCGATTTCAAAAGTTAAACTTGCCAACTTTAGTGGGCTCTATGTTTTGATTGAATCTAATTTTATCTTCATAGATCATTCTGAATTGATGAGTATTCTGAAATAACAGCTGACTGCATTTATGATTTAACGATGAAATGTTTATGACTTCAAATGCAAGGAAACGATTTATTTATGCAATTTATAAATTATCCCCGTTATTTCATAAGCTAAATTATTGATAGGTATTAGGCTTAGGCCCCTGCGTGCTTATTATTATTATTATTATTATTATTATTATTATTATTATTATTATTATTTTTATTATTAATAATATTATAGACTTACTCAATTCTGTTTATCTTACAATTAACTGATTTACATTATTTTAACTTTTTCACTTGAATTATTGTGAAATTTTAATTGTCTGTTGATTTAATTGAGCTGCGTAAAAATAATATTATCTAATAAAAAAGTCTCATCAATTTGGAAATAATTGGGATAAAATTTCGAAACTTTCGTAGAAGAGAATTTTTTTTTCCTTTTTTTTTTATATTCATCGGCGTAAAAAATACAATGTTGAGAATTTAATAATATTGCATTAATTAATATTGCATCGTTTGACGTAGAACGATTCGGTTTATATACCAATGGGAATACGAATGTGCCGATAATAGATCGATATATCAGAAACGTACGTTTTTCCACGTTGGACCCGAAACCATAATAATAATCAAGTAAGACGCCAATTGGTCGTAAACGAAGATAGTATCACACGTTAGATGCGTAATACTAACAGAGAAAATTGAGTAATAAATCATTAGACGATCGAATATAGTAACGTTAATTGTTAAATGAATTATCCTTTTATGTGCTTCGTCGTCGTCGTCGTCGTCGTCGTAATTTTCTTTTCTCTTTTTAATCCAATCACTCTTTTCCAATTTAGCAAAAAACGATAAAATGGAGATCGAATGATTTCCAAGCTCTCTTTGATCAAGCCTTCAAGCTTTCTTTCAAACGAGACTGTGCTCGCGTGAGTCGAAACGATGAGTGTAAAGAATGGAGGAGCTCGTTCCTGGTGATGTAGATGAGGATGCTGTGTTCGAACACGTCGGCGACGAAGGCATTGCCTTCTTCGAGGCTGACAATACCTAGGTATTTCGAACTTGTTTCGAACTCGTTTTGTTGTTCTCCAAGCTTGAGGCCGGCCTTCCCACGAGATCCTCCAATTCGTCCGGTGTCAGGACAGTGAAATCTCTGAGATAATAATTCACCAAAAATAACAACAAATTAACAATAATCTAACAATAACAAATCTAAATTTACGAAATATGAAAATTTTCTTTCCACGCTTATTATAATTATAATTATAATACACATATCTATGTATTTTATATATTGTTAAATAATTAATATGAAATTTTTTGAATAATTTTGATTTTCATCGAATAACTTTTATCTTAAACTTACCTGTTTTGAGAAAGTAGTTTGTCTATGCTGGTGATACTTCGCTGATGTGTACCCTCCTTTTGAACAGCCTTTTGTCTTCTGATACAGAGAGCTCGAAGAGGCGCCAATAAAACACCAACTACGAGAAGGCCGCATCCAGCCGCTATCAATACGGCCGAATTTTGTGCGGCTTCGGCTCCAGGTGCAAGCTGAACTAACCCGACGACGAGTACAACGGCTCCAAAAAGTAAAGATCCCACGACAACGTGGAGAGAATTTACCTGTGAATATTTCCAACGAATATTCTCTAAAATATACAATATTTATGACATATATTTATATGTATATAATGATGTCGGTGATGTAATGATGGTATAACAAAGACAGATATATATACATATATATATATATATATATATATATATATATATATATGAGTTGTGAGTTTTTCAATAATTATATTTTCATTAAATTATTTCATTATATTTTCATTAAATGAAAAAATATTATAAATTTTATCTCTGCGAAAAAGAAAATCTTATTAACGCACGAAGTAATTACATTACGAGAACTCTGACTCGACCCTATAAAAGCATGGATCAACATATTCTCTGTTATTGATCTACCCTTTAAACTTTGCAACGAACCAGCATGTAATTATTACTTCCTTCCAATTTATAATTGTAACTTTTATACGTGAGAATATGTATAATTCGTAAAACAACATTGTTTTAATTAACTAATTATAAATATATACATACATACATACATACATACATACATACATACATACATATATATATATATAAATATATATATATATATATATATATATATATATACGATTAAATCTTTTTTATTTCGTTTGAAAAATCTAGCGACTTTTATCTTAATTTCTACTTATAATTTGAAGATATCTCTTATCAGGAAAAAGACAAGAGTAACTCTAGTATCTCCTCTCGAGGGATCAATTTCGTTCTACGAACTCAAGAGAGCGTTTTATAGCTATCACGATACGAACAGCACTTTGTCGCGTTCCTCGCTCGGTTACTCCTCCAGCATCGAATTTCTCCTTCGACTTTTCGTTATCGAGTACCAAGGTCAAGGTTATTGGATTTTATTCAAAATATAGATCGTCAATGTGAACGAGCTCAACTCGTTGGACATCGCATGCTAAAGCTAGTTTAAATTTACACTTCATCGGTATTATCCCACGAAGCTAAGTCATTTGTAACGGGAAATTAATTTTATTTGTTTTAATTAGAAGAGTCTTGTACATTCGAATCGCAGATAATAAGGACAATTTAATCAAATTAACTATTGTGAATAATTATAACCTATTGTAAAGAATTACGAGAGGCATTAGTCGACTGATAAAATTTTTTTTTCAAATGTCGATAAATAACTACCGCTTTATCAAAATGAAAAAGAATTTATTAAAATCCCGTTATATCTCGTATTTTTAAATTATACACGGAATATTTTCATCCCCTCCTTTCTCAACGCCTACGAAGATCGAATGACGTCACGAAAATCTTCCGCCCTTTCGTATAAAACCCATCGTCAATAACATAAAATTACTATAACGTAGTAATGGAATATCGATTGACTCATGGTAGTGCTTTTTTTAAACTTACAATAAAAAAAAATAATGCCCTACAAGATTTAATCCCTTCGAAAGTCTTGTAAATACTTGAGAATTTATTTTTAGAAAAAGTAAATACATATATATATATATATAATATATTTATTTTAAAGAATAATTATTCAATGATTTCTAATCAAAAAAATAAAGGAGAAAAATAATCGATTAAAATCATTCGAAAGATTATTCAGTTTAATAATAAATCTTTTGTATTCTTCAGACGTATTATTTTATCTTCCTTCGACAAACTTTTTCATTCAACAAATAACAAAGAATTTATAATGATATTGGAAAATTTTTAATGTAAAGCAAATTAAGATCGATAATGAAATTAAAAAATGAAGGAGAGAAGGAGTAATACGCAAATTAATATGTTTCTCATTTTAATATAGAGATCTTCAAAAACCTTGACTATAATATTATCTTAAAGAATTTTATTTTTGAATATAAACAAAGCTTTGTTGTTTCTAAGTTTGAAACCTACGATCTTGAATGCCCTTCCGTTATTTTTAACCTTTATAATCATGGATCTATTATTTCCGTTATTGAAGAAACAGATAGGGAGAGAGAGAGAGAGAGAGAGAGAGAGAGAGAGAGAGAAAGAAAGAGTGAATAAAATAAGAAGATGAAGAAAAAGAGCTTTGATATAATTATTGTTAATGTCTAAGAGGATTTAAATGAGATTTACTTTGATTAAATTTTCAAAGTGTATTATCAATTTATAAAATTATTTATAGAATATAATTTATTATTCTTTAATAATACAATAAATTTTCCATTATAATTGTTTAACTTAGTCAGACATAATTGAAACATATTTGTTTCTATCGTTACGATAGTTTATATCGTTATAATAGTTTATGAATTTAATGTGTGTGTGGGCGTAAAATTAATTGAAATATTCTCGTACAAATTACTTTGATAAGGACTGAAGATATTGGTATTTCGAATAATAAGAAGGAATAATCCTTTCACTTACCTTTCCACAAAAATAATATTCAGGAGGTTCTTTGTCGACCAATGCTAAAACTGCCTCGCTTTCTGCCAATGGACTTCCCGGTTGGCTGTTTCCTATTCTTGTTCCCTTCTCTTGATAATAAGTTTTGTGGAAGACCTTTACAGATGGAACTGGTAATGCCGTAATCATCCTGTAAACACGATTATTATTATTGGAATACGTTTAAGAATCTTTACTTTTTGCTTCTTAAGGAAGAGTAATTTAACGAGAATAAACGTCATTAGAACCAATATGAATGACAGCTATTGAATAATCCTATAATTGTTTAATTTCCTGTTCCCCCTTCGTGCGGCTTTTATTATTTTTTTTTTTTTTTTAAATCATTTAGTTTAAATGTATCTTTTCGTTTATAAAAAGCAACAACAAAAAAAAAAAGAAAAAAAAAAGAAGGAAAAAGAATCTTTTCTTTTAATTTATGAATCTATTTTATTTCATTGATTTTCTTTTCTCTTTGAATAATATCAAAATTGTACTATGTTCTACATAATAATATATATAATATATGTATGTATAATAAATAAATAATGATTAACCATAAGTTGTTCAAAGATTGATTAACGACGTTATTTGCCAATGAAAATTTGAAAATCTAAATTCTAATGGAATATATATCGTTCGTATTTCGATTCAAAATATGTAGCTTGAAATAATAGAACCTACAAACCAAGGTGTAAATCATCCAGGGTTATCGAAGAGCTGCACGCTCGACGTGGAAAGTGGAACAGCTTTAACGGATGCACGAGCAAGTAGGGGGCTTTACTAAGGAGGGTAGAATCTTTAGTTTCACTCTGATGACTTCGTTTCGCGGGTTATATTCCAGAATGTTACGTGTTCTGTTTCGATCAATGCCATTATATATGAAGTCGATTATAATGTTATATAACAGACTCTCATCGTAAGAATTTTTTTGGTTCATCAGAGAAAATGTCATCGGCGGATTTTCTTGCGTGAAACGATTTTATAAAGGTAAAAAGAATACATCTTTCCGATCGAACTATTTCGTATCCGTTGCACGTGACATTGTAAAAGGTCAAAGAAACAGTGTCGAGTCTTCGATAGATTTATAGATATATATATATATATATTTTACATCTCGATGTTCCCTTTTGGATTTTCTTAAACCTCAACAACTTTCTATATTTTAGATTCTTATGACGATGGGAGTTTAACGCCCACTAACGTCTTCTCAGCTTTATTATTCTTTTTTACATTTTCATTCCCTTCCATTACCTCTTTCATATTTTTCTCTCTATATTTTCCATTCTATGGTAGTCATTAGAAAGTCATCGTTATTGTAAGGAAATAAAGAATGGAAGATTTTAACAGACAAAAACTCGTTGAAAAATTTTTTATTTCAAATTTAACAAACAAGTAAAAAAAGAAAAAGAGAAAAAAAAAGAAAAGAAAGAAAAAAAGTATATAAACACATTAAGAAAAAAAAAAAAAAAAAAAAAAAAGAAAAGAGAGAAAAATTTCAATAAAACCAAAAAATATCGCGGAATCAAATCCAACAATACACAATTTAATTGAACAAAATACAATTTCAATGCTATTCTCGTACAACAAGTGAATCTAATGAAGCTAAAAAAAGAAGTAAATAAATCAAGCTCTCGTAGAGGTCTCTTTGCAGCTTCCCGAGTCAATAGTTACGAATTTTTCCGGCGATAATTACTTTTTCCGATAATAAACCGAGGTCCTGGCATCTAAGAAAGGAAAAAAAAATGTTGTACGCATCGAGTTATCGACCTTCTCTCTTCGAAAGAGGCAACGGGTCGAGGATATCGATGAATACACGATGAAAGCATCGTAAGAATTGCTTATCGATCGGAATAGATTTTCCTAGTCGTGTCCTTGAATTAATTTCGCCATCTTAGTTGTGTCGGAAACTCTCTCTCTCTCCCTCTCCCTCTCCCTTGTGCAACTTTTTCTTTTCTTTTCTTTTCTTCCTTTCTCTTTTATATACGTATATTCCTTTATGGAAGAAACAAAGGGAGAGCTTGTTGTTGTCAGGGCTGCTGGGTGCCAGTTGACAAAGCATCATCATACATGAGACACGTGGATCGGTCTATTATATTGAAAGTGCAGGCAGCAGGTGTGAGTGTTACTCGTTTAGTATGTGTCGTTACTTGTCGAGTTAGAGTAGATTGTAGCCGGTGTGGGTGGTGATGGTGTTGGTAACACTGATGTTGCTGCTGCTGCTGCTGCTGCTGCTGTTGTTGCTGCTGCTGCTGCTAGCACTGCTAGTAGTGGTGGTGGTGTTGGTGGTGGTGGTAGTGGTGCTGGTGGTGGTGGTAGTGATGGCCTAGATATATTCTCGGGGCCAGCGGACGTTGCACCTCGGTTATCGAACAGCCAGGGCACACAAGGGGTGCAGCTGCACTGTCAGAAAACTATCGCTGCGCTCTCGTCCTTCCACCACTCGCCTCATTCTCATCGATCGTTCTCTTTCCAGTCTCTTAACGAGACCACCTTACCCCTATCCCTCCTTCCCTTCCTCTCTCTCTCTCTCTCTCTTTCTCTTACTTTTCTTCACTTTTTCTTTCTTTTTCCTTCTTCTCAAAACTCGACCTTCTCCGAACGATACTCTTGTATTTTTGATTGATCGATAAATCTAGACTGAATAATATGATCGTTGATCTATTACTCTGCAATTGAATTTACCATCTCGAATTTGGAATAAATAGAGATCTAGTATATTCAATAATCTCGCTTTTACAGCGTAGGCGTGTGTCGGATTTATTCAACGTTACATCAACCCTTGCACCTTTTGAACAAGATAAATGACATATTCGGCACAAACATTAATCACATTTTTTCTTTTTTCTTTTCTTTTTTTTTTTTTTTTTTTTTACTTTATTTTTACGAATCCACCCGTCGTGGAACGTCGATTAATCGAAGGACTTCTTAAGTACGCAAAGTTGTTACGTTAGTACGAAGTGTCGATCCTGTTTAACAATAATAGTATCGAATACGAGACTCGAGACGTTGTTTTCTGAAGGCTTTTCGATGATAGACAGTTCGTCATTATATTTCCATTCTCTATATAAATTTTTCTTTTGTTTTTCTTTCGAAATTTCATCGATTAATAATCTTACAGATTATTGTTTGTCATATTAAAAATACGTACGAAGGACGAATTGAGAAGAAAGATAATGGAATTATTTATTGTAATGACGAATAAACGTTTTATTTCCGATTAACATGCAAATTCTTTACATATATGTATATGCGTGTATGTGCTCGTCACGAGAAATCTAGTTGCTACCATTGTAAGATTCAAGAGCACGATTATAACGCGGACGCGTTAGCCTTGAGTTCAACCCTTTTAATATCTCGAACAGATGTATCGATTCTTCGAAATTATAATTATGCGTGTAAAAAAAAAAAAAAAAAAAGAAAAAAAAATAAAAAGAAATAATATTTTTCAATAATATTTATTATTAGGATATTACACGTAGAATATTATTTTTCTTTCTCTTCTCAAATTGATCGACTTTAATGCAATTAATTATACTTTTATAACGTAGACGTGAATGATAATTAAGAAAAATATTGCGCGTTTTTATAGAGCGACAGAAAAGAGAAAAAGAAAGAAAAAAGAAGAGAAATATAAACGACGTTTGTTTCATTGGAGATCGTCAAGTGCAATTTCGTTTAAACGATCCAATGAACTTTATTAGAGTTCCGTTCCGTTACATTTACATTTGTGGGGGCGTCAATGATAAACCTTATGTCCCACGTATACTCCATTACATATACTGATGAAAAATTGTATGCGACAAGGCGTACGTGCAAGTACAGTATTTATTTAAGCATGACGCACGTAGAAGTATATAAGAGTGTATCTGTGTATATATATATATATATACATACATATATATATAGATATATATATATATATATATGTATATATATATATATATATATATATATATATATGAGTACATGTGTAGGTATTCCCTAAACATTCCGCATAATTACGAATTCCATACATTTACATGACAATCCATCAAAAAATATTATTGATTAATTCCTATGATTCTTGTCTCATGGTAACACGAAATATTTCTCTCTCTCTCTCTCTCTCTCTCCCTCTCCTGTTTAAATAATTCAAATGATAATATTGTTAGATCGTTAAGACAAAAAATGATAAATTTTTATAGGTACAAAAAAAAGGAGAAGATATTTATGGCAATGTTTAGACGGTAAACCCTTGAAATTATCTACCGTCTGGAATCTAAGAATATCTAATTTGTTCGTAGCATTAAAAAGTGCTTATTTGCTCGACATGAAATATTTCAAGTTTATTTCTAATAATGTAAATATCTATTTAGAAATTCTCTCTCTCTCTCTCTCTCTCTTTATCTCTATCTCTTTTAGAGACTTACTAGTAAATTCCATCAAACATACTATGTCCTTCGTTCTATAGATTTTTAACGTTACTGATTTTCGATTCACACTAAAACGAGCCTCGTAAGAAGTTGGTTACGTGTACGTCATGTCGACGACGACGACGACAACGACAACGACGACGACGACGACGACGACGACGACGACGACGACAACGACGACGAAGAGGTAACCTTTATTGCACGGAGAGGCGTAAAGTGGGACAGTGGCCTGGTTCCCGGTGTCATGGCTGCAGCTGCATGTGCACTACCAAACGCAGAGAAAAAGAAAGAGAGAGAGAGAGAGAGAGAGAGAGGGAGAGGGAGAGAGAGAAAGAAAGAGAGAGTAGTAGTAAAGGCCGGCTATAGACACACCACAAGGTGCAACCAGTTCGCTGCTCCCTAAGCTTTGGATCTCCGCCAAGAGAGCTTTGAGAGTCCGAGAAAGTACGGAGAAAGAAGAGACTGGATTAGAGCTCGTACTTCGTATTAAAAATGTGTTCCTCTTTTCATATTAGATAAGTAGACACGTACATATATGTACATACAAAAATGTACCATTCGTCGTTAATTAATCCCCTATCTTCTTTCTATTTTTTTTTTTTCATTATTTTTCTTTTCCTTTTTTCTTCTTCTTTTTTCTTTTTTTTTTTATTTTTCATGAGCGCTCACGAAGAATTAGCAAAAGGAAATAGCATTTCTGTAACACTCTGACTTATCATCCACTAGTAAAATTTAAAGCCTTTTGTTTGGACTCTGCCTTTCGGCGGGTCTTTATACTCAGATTGAATGACGCAAGAATGAATTCAAAAGAAACAAAGAAAGAGAAAAAATAGGAGTGAGAGAGAGAGAGAGAGAAAGAGAAAGAATGATTTCAAAGCCGAATAGGAAATTAACGCGGAACAGTCGTAAAGTATCTCAACCTACCTCATAGAAAACTTAATTTCATGTAGCAGTTAGAATAATTTAACGTTGACCTATCTCTTTTCAAGAAATCGATTTAAAAATGTAAGATAAGAGATTTGAAGAACGATTAGAAATGCGTAATACAGTAGGAATTTACAATCTGCGTGCGAGTTAACGACCCGAAAGTTAACGTTCCTTACGAAATTCGTCTCTTACGAAATTTCTTAGTACCTATGCCCAATTAAAGTACCTATCGAGGGTGCAGTCTCAACGATAAAAGTAAATGGCCCGGGGTATTATTTATGCAAATACGTGACTTCGCATGGCGCATGCAAGTCAGGTTTTATCGAAGGCAGCACGACATCAAGGTGGTTCACCTTTTCGCCGGGAGGATGTCAAGCTGCATCCTTGGCTCTTTCGTGCTGAGCATGGAAATAATAAATCAGCGTGAACCACCTCGTGGAAGGATCCATTTCGAAGTAACGTAATTTTCTATTCCTTTGCAAAACTATTTTTCATGTTATCTTATTTTTTCTTTTCTATCTTTTTTTTTCTTTTTTTGTTTTAAACGAAATACCACCAAATGTAAAAGATTTACGTTTTTTTTTTTTTATTTTCTTTTCTTGGAAGGACTGTTTTTTTTTTTATGATCATTTTCCCCCTTAACGAATCCATCGAGAAGACCTATTTATCGATCAATTTGAAATACTAGAGCACTCAAAAAGGGAGCAACGACGATTTATGGAAACGTCTTTGCTCCAGAGCCTCCCCTACGTACGTTGACTCACGGTCGGCGTTCTTACTAAATGCGATTGCGACTTTGACTTGGCTCTCTTCCAGAGACGTCCAGCTATATCGGACGAGATGGATTTGGTAATCGGGGTCGCTGCACCCCTACGTATTCGTTCTATATACTTTAGATTATATTATCCTTATATATATATATATATATATATACACATATATCTATACATATTATCCGTATATTATAACTAGGAATCTTATCAAACAAAATCTATCTTTGAAAATTTTCTAACTTTTGATCGTTGGAATTTTCATCTCATCTGATATATAAAAGATATATTGAAGATATACATATAAAAGATATACATAAAATGGAATGCATCAGGTTTGTTATTAAATCTAAAATAGTTTATTGGCATAATAATTTCATAATCGAAATATCGAGATAAACTCAGAGAATGTTATTATTTCACAACTGGTCTATGGGGGATTCGCGATGCACGTGATGAAAACTATAGTTCCTAGACCGGTTCATTAAAACTTTCAGATAAATGGGTCACTATAGGTCATCCAACAATATCTCGCGAACCCGCGACGAGTAAGCGATCAACAACTGGGTCACTCGATCGTTGAGAAAAGATCGGGAAGCGATTGGAGATAAAAAATCGATTGGATTAACGTCCTGAATTTGAAAGAAATTATCGTCTTTTTTTTGTTTTCAATACCAACCAACGTAATACCGTGAATATGAATTATGAGAAACGAAGAAATTCAAATATATAGAATAGTCTTCCTTGAATTATTCTAATGAGATTCGCATGTCTACGTGCAAAAGTACACAGGGCTAATGCACGCGAACGATCATCGCCACCGTCTGTCTTAACTTTCAACGAATATTATGAGTCAAAAAAGGGAACATTAATCATAAGCATGTTTATATATCTATATCATTTTTACAGGCAAATTTAAATATCTTATTTACATTTCGTTCTGACACCTGACAAATGAACAAAAATATCGGACGAATATGAGAAAAAATTTTTAACATCGTATGATACGAAATTACGACGATCTTATTTTCCATAATTAAAAACTATTACGACTAATTTGTCATTCAAGATGTTACTTACTTTGATGAGCAAGAGCTTTTATCTCTACGTCGTGATTCCTTTTGTAAAATTCGCGCGCTTCACCAAGGAAAGATGGTCTAAAAGTTCGATGATACTCGCATCGGACACTCCTTGATCTTCTCTTTGAATTTCTTTTATTATTTCTTTCTTCTTAATTCTTCTCTTCTTTCTCTCTTTGTTACAAGGCAAATAAAGAAGAGAAAGATATCACGGAAAATGTTTGTCTAGCGCGCGACCGTTTTAACGGAGTGGTGGTCCCGCGAATACTGAGCTTCTCGAGGTTCGCGTCCTGGTCGATAAACCACCCTTCTGCCACCCATTTGCCTCGTGCCGAAGGTACCTCCATACCGAGCTTCACCTGACTTTCCTCCTTCTCTTCTCTCCTACATTTTCACTCCCACATCGTTCTTTCTCTCTCTCTCTCTCTCTTTCTCTCTCTTTTTCTCCTTTTCCTTCTTTCCTTTCTTTCTTTCTTCATCCACCACTATTTCATATACCACCTCTTTTCGAGTTAACGCACACAGATACGCATGCACACACCTTTAACCTTTCATCCTTAGCATCAGGACCCTCAGGATTCGTTTCTTTTTGGTTACCTAATATTCCAATAGCTTTCGTAAAATATTTTCTACACAGACGGTACATTCACGTGTACACAATATTACGATTGATTCCGTCATTGTAAACATTCGTCGCATTCCTATCGTATACTCGTGTACCTACACGTGCAAAAAATATATAGTAAATAAATATAAACTGCTACTTGAATTTACCGACCATTGATCGTCGTATAAAAGATCAAATGATCTGTTACGTTATCAAAGAAATGTGTTACAAATTAATTAAAAAGAATTACTAGAATTATTTGGAGTCTCTATTCTTTTTCCTCTCTCTTCCGTGTTCTCTGTCTCTCTCTCCCTCTCTCTGTCCTGTAAAAAAGATTCAAAGAGAAAGGCCAAATGAATAAGGGACAATGCGAACGAAGTAAAAGAGAACAACTTGGGTTCGTGTTCGACCTCGATCAACCAAGTGGATCGTCAGTTCGTGTTACAACGTAAAACGCCATCCACCTCGAGAAAAATGAAGAAAATCAAGGGACAACCTCGGGTCGTCTGCGACTGCTGACCTTCGACCTCGATGACCAATTAATTATATCGACTGGTCGCTACATGTAAAAGTATTGCGAAATAATGTCTAAAACCTATCATATTCACGAATGTTTATGGATTACTAAATAACGTAAAAAGTTTAGTTAAAAATATTTTACATTAACTATATTAATTCAAACATTCTCGTACAGATATAAATCAATTTTTGAATCAATATCGTTGAAAATTTATTTGACATAATCGATAGGATAGACTGATTAATTTTATTTACTAAATTTACTAAATACAAAAATTACAATATTTTCTAAATATGAATTTTTATGCTATCTTGATAAAATATAATAAAGAGATATTTTTTTTTTTTTTTTTTTTTTTTTTTTTTTATTATAAGGATTATTCAGAAAGATAAAATTAAATTTGTACTTACGAATAATAAAATGGCATAATTCGGTAGGAAAAAAAAGAAAAAAGAAAAAATAAAAAGAATTTATATTTGTAATACGATGGAAATCCTAAAGGAAATAAGATGAAGTAATAAAAAAGCATATTCTTCAGTCTTCTGTTTTACCATCGCATAATTTGAATCACAATGACGTAGTTGTATCCTCGACTGTAGGTTACTCATCCAATTCTTTTTACCAGTGTGAACTTCGTTTCATCGAAAATGGATGGCGTATACGGCATCCATAAAAGCTTTACTGATCCTATACTCTATGTATACATATATATACATTTGCATACATATATACAAATATATATATATATATATATATATATATATATATTTACGTACATATGTATCTATGTACTTCAAAATAGAAACGGAAGTTGTTCAGTACGAATTATCAAAAGATTAGCTTTCGATTGAATGACGTAAGTATAACATTGTGTGGGCGAGTTATGAATGGAAAAGATACGAAGATAGAATTATCTCGACGATTTCCTATTCTTATAAATGAATCAATACGAAAATATAATCCGCCATTAAACATATTGAATTTTTCAAAATATTCAAAACATTTTTTGTCTATTTAAATATACGTGCATATATTTTAATTTAATTTAATATCTAATAGATCAGTAAATGACCTTTTCTGTTAGTGAAAACGTTTTATTAAACTCTGAAAGTTACAATAGCGGTAGAGTTTTTCTTGGTTTATTATTTTTTTTCTTTTCCTTTTTTTTTTTTTTGTTTTTTTTTTGTTTTTTACTTGCTGTTTGCTATAGAATCACATATAGGATTACAACATCAGCGTTTCTTTAAGGAGGGGCTATTCACGTGTAACTGACATGGTACATCTCTTTTCTTTTTTTCTTTTTCTTCTTCTTCTTCTTCCTCTTCTTCTTCTTCTTCTTCTTCTTCCTCTTCTTCTTCTTCATATCTTTCGCAATGATCGAACGCAGATAATATTATATGTCATGGGAAAGTATATCTTAAATTTTCATTTTACAATCTATATAAAAATCGTAACGTTACCATTGCATTTTTTTTTGACTGCAACAAAGGTAATCCTCAAAAATATATATACATATATTTATATACCTAATAATAAACGAACAAAGTACATCAACTTTCACGTAAAAGCTATACGTTAATAACTTATTTGATAAGACGATGATTAATCTAAAATCCTTCTTATACAAAGCTATCCATGTTGATTATCCGTAAAAAGCCCGGATCGTAGTAACGGAGTAGTTCCGAACTGCATAAGAGGAACTTACAGTACTTTAAAAGAAATATATATATATATATATATATATATATATATATATGTATACTGTATGTATAATGCATATATGTATACGTATGTATGTATATACAAAACATTGCGTGCGTATACCTGTATATAACCAGTCAGCGAATGCTATTTCGAAAGAATTGCATATGCATGTATATAATGATTAAAAATAACGATCGAGAGATTGCCTTTCCTGAATCGTTTACTTTCCCTCGTTTTATGCATTTTTTTTTTTTTTATATTATATTATATACCAGTATTTATGGATTTTTTGAAATATCGCAAAGTTCTTTATTGTATGTTACTACGATCGTTTCGCAGCAGAGGGAAAGAGTATCTTATTATCACAATATGAATGTTTTTCTTTTTCATTTTCTTCTTGTTTTCTTAAATAAACCCTAAACCTCTTGTATTAGTTGCCATTTTGTATGTTGTCATACCCTGAAAAGGGCATATTAACCGATAACTCTGTACGTTTAACTTAAAATTGATTCTTTTTCTATTTTTTTTTTCTTTCCTTTATATATATATATATATATATATATATATATATATATATATATATTTATGTATAAGAGAGAAAAAATGCTTTGCGAAAAAGAAGATAGGCTCGCATGAAGTACGATTTAGAAACTACAAGATCACGTGAGAGTTCAAGAGAGTTCAGATGACTATATAAGTTGTGTGTTGTGCTTGGCGTACATACTTCCTAGTATTTATTTCTTTTTTCTTTTTTTCTTTTTTTCTTTTTTTTATTTTTTAATTTTATCGCTCTACTTTTTAATATTATGCATAAATTACTTCGCGTATGACTTAAGCGCATTCTCACTCAAGAATGAACACTTGGATTGCGTTAGCGAAATGTATAATACATACATACATACAACGATTTTAACGTTCGCTTTAATTAAAAAATAATTTATGCGAATTCCATTGTTAATCTCATTTATTATCAATCACTATCAATCTCTCTTATGTTAAATAAATACATTAAAAAATAATAAATAAAAAGAAGATAAAATTATTAACAATCAAATTGAAAATAACTTCTCACGAATGTTTCTAATCGTTGATTAACTGTTCTCGCATCTAATCCAAGTATTTTTCGAGAGGAGTCTGCGTACATACGCGGCTTATTTTATTTATCATAGATACAACTCAGAAGTTCTCGTGACACTTTCTCGTCGTGATTCGAAGCCCATTCGAATCTAATTCGCAGAAAACGCTGGGCAAGAGCAATAATTCTATAATAATAACAATAATAATAATAATAATAGTAATAATGATAGCAATAATTAATATTCTACGTTAGAAACGAATGTTCTCATACTTGTTAAATATAAGCAAACGCAGGAAATATACATATTGCTGTGATGGATGAATAAATATATATATATATATAGACGAATAAATATACACACATATATATATAATATATATATATATATATATATATTATATATATATGTTATGTATATTATATATATTATATATATATATATATATATATATAGCGTTTCAAGGTAACTCGTTTGCGAATTATCGAGCGTATAATTATTCTTTGATGACTCTCGACTATAATCCAAAATCTTTTTTATACAAAATTGGAAGAAAAGATTTGATAAGTAGAAAATGCAAATCAGAAAATCGTATTGTTAATCATAATAGATCTTACAATTAAATATCGGCGAATGGAAGAAATCTATTTTATTCGAAGAAGCTGCGTTTTCATAAGCGTAATTCGTTTTTCTTTTTATTACTCATCGTTTCTACGTGCTTTGGATCCTGTTTCGAATTAGATATTATTGGCCGTTTTTCAACGTTTCACCTTTCACCCCTTCTCAATGTTCATACGTAATCGTGGAAGGAACGATAAAACGCATCGAGAAAGGATCAAAGGAAAATACGCCCTTTAAAAAAATTGCATTGAAAACCTGCCATTAGAGAGCTTATATTATCGATACTATGTATTTACACGCGTTAGTTTTCAAACGGAAGTTCGAGTATGTGCCGTGTCAATGTTTTTAATGCCACAGCACTATAGATTTATTATGTAGGTAGTATGTGATGATCCTATTTTAGTGTCCATAATCGATATAATTTTTTTGAAAAATCTCAAAGAGAGATATTTTTCGGAAAAAATTTAATGAATTTAAGAGATAGCTTCCTTATAATTAATTAATTATTATATTATATTATATTATATCGACCATCTTATCTTTAAGTAGACATTTCTTACTAACTTCAGAAATAACTCATGTTTTATAATAATTAACGCTACATTAGAGTGTATATGCTCTTTCATCTTACTCTTTCATCTTACTCTCTCTCTCTCTCTCTCTCTCTCTCTCTCTCTCACTGCTTCTTCATCTTTTTCTTCTTCTTTTATCAATCTTTTATACGTATTTATATCACTGCACCAGATGGCTAACAATAAATAAATAAAAAATTTATCGTGAAAGACGAATACATGAGGACATTCCCTTGATGAAAATTTCTTTGCCATCTGGCACGTATCGCTTCGTTAAATTACCTTATATGACGTTAAATTTGTAATAACTTTAAGTGGACCCCAACGGTAGTCGAACGTGTACGCCCACGTGATGGGAAAAGTTTTGCTACCGTAATAAAATTCGAACGTATACATACGATTACGTTCTTACTTAAACGACGAGACGAAAAAAGAAAAGAAAAGAAAAGAAAAGGAAAAAAAAAAAAGAAAAGGAAAAAAAAGAAATTACGATCGATATATCGTTGCGTTAGATACGCGAACGATTCTTATCGATCGTTGGTCATGTAATAATAATTAATTTGTTAAAGCGAATTTGGCAGCGCTTTTTTTAATCGACCCTATCGCCGTTCCACGAGATAGGCACCAATATTTGAATAATAATTAATATTCATTACTTTTTGGAACACATGAAATATTTTTCCTTCTTTCTCTTCTCTTCTCTTCTCTTCTCTTCCCTTCTTTTCTCTTTCTTTCTCATTCATTTCCCATTTCGAAACAAATTTATAGTTATGTATTTAAAAGTTTTACAAAAATTTTGACAATATCTCGTCAGCGAAAGGATCGATATTTTTTAATCCGACAATCGAATAAATAATACATATATATGTATGTATATACTCCTCGCGAATAAAATATCATGTTCTCGTATGTCTTCCCGTCACGCGGGCAAAGATTTATTTTTTTTTTCTCCCCTCTTTCATTCCTATCTGCTTAAAAGTATAAATATCCTAATGTTAATAGAGAATTTAAATATTTTTTATTCGAAAGACACATAGATTTCGCATAATGCTGCGCTCGCAAGATTGCTGTATATTCTTATATACCGTTTTTTATTCTATTTTTTATTATTATCCTTCATTATCATCATCATTATCATCATCGTCTCCGTCTTCATCATCATCATCATCATCATCATCATCATCATCATCATCATCATTATAATCATCATCGTAGTCGTCTTCATCATTATCATTGTCATCATTATCATCATCATCATCATCATCATTGTTATTCTTTTTTTACCCATTTTTTTTCCATTATGCTAAAATTTTAATTCTCGATAAAATAGCATCGAGTTTGAGTGCAAGTGCTGGATAAAACGTATCAATAAGTCCTAGCTAAAAGTAACGACACTTATTATTATTATTATTATTATTATTATTATTATTATTATTATTATTATTATTATTATTATTATTATCCTCCTCTTAACTCCTGGGTCCCCAACCATTTCCTCGCCCACAATAAAATCTTCATTTTTCTCATCCCCCTTCATCTTTTGTATTTTTACTTTCGTATATCTCCCTTTCTTCGAACATTCTGCTCTCATTCTTCTCCCTATATTATCGTCCTACGTCAAAAATGGGGAATTCGTTTAGTATATACAAGGCTCGTATCTGAAAAATGCGAGCGATGTTGGATGCTTTGTAAGTACGTATTTGTATGTATATATATATATATATATGTGTGTGTGTGTGTGTGTGTGTGTGTGTTTGTCTACGCTCATGCGTATTTAAGAATCTCATGTAAAATTTGTTTTTCCCCGTCACCGGCAACCCTCCTCCTTTCTTTTAATAATAAAACGAATAGATAGATATCGACATCTATTTTTGATCCTTCTTTCTTAGTGCTAAATAAAAACACCACCCATGACTCTTTTCCTTCACGTACGCGAATAAATAATCTTAAAGTCGGACGTATGTAAGCTTATTATATCAAACGCTTTGTTCGTTTTTTCTTTTTTTTTTTTTTCTTCTTTTTCTTCTTTTTTTTTTTTCTTTTTTGTTCTTTTTTCCTCGATTTCGTTTCATCGTAAATCGTGAATAATGATAAAAAAAAAAAAAAAAAAAAAAAAAACAATAAATAGTAAAGTATCAATCGATTGTTCTCCTCAAATTGTACTTATTCCGAAAGACAGAAAATTTGTTTATTTGTTTTAAAATAAAACGGGATAAAAGATTTCCTAACATATGTAATTTCGAGATAGATACAATAGTCCCGAAATCTTTGAAACAATCGAGCTTAGTAGAAAGAAAGAAATGAAGTATTCTTGTGGAATATATTGGAATATTGGTTTCCAAGATTGGCACGTAAAATCACATGGAATTTATTACCAACTGTCCGTCCAATCTCCCTAACTTATTTTCTCCTATTCTTTCCTTCTTCCTCGCTCTTTAATTAATATCCTTTGTTTCTCTCTTTAGTACCTAATCAAAACGATACACATATTTTTCATGCCCTGTTTAGTCTCAAGAGAAAAAAATCAAAAACTTGATTCGATCGTTCTCTCATTTGTTCTCTAATCCTCGCCTAACGTACATATGTAGCATGTAGGTACTTGTGCAGAGAAATTAGAACGAATCCTTTCGATAATTCGTATGAGTTCTTTGTGTGTTCTTTTTTTTTCATTTTTTATATGCGTCTCTACTCTATGTATATGTATATGTATATGTATATATATATATATATATATATATATATATATATATATATGTATGTATATACGTATAACACGCTTTTGTACAGAGATTTCATCGGTTTTGTCAGAAAAAAGTTTAGTCTTTTATAATGGTAACGAGCTCTGTCGTTAATGTACAGGGTGCCCATATTAACTGTGCTATTTCGAATCTTTATTATTTTTTCTTTATTTTTTTTTTTTTTTCTTTTTTTTGAGATTTCTTATCCCAAACGAAATAATTTCATCGACTCCATTTATTTAGTTATATCTTTATATATTTTATTATACTTATATATATATATATATATATATATATATAAGTATCGATCGATCTTAATTATTTCCTATTTCCCCCATCTTGTCTTGCTAAATTATAGCTTACTTTTTAATGAATGAAATTGATCGAAATAGATTGAAAGAACGAGCACCCGATACACTTTACAGAAAAGTGCACTTTCCTCAGTAACGTTAAGTACTGAGTACACGGTACGTACGTATATATAATATGTATAGTATAATTTTATGTATATATATGTGTGTGTATAATATGTATATGCATTATTTATATATAGAAAGTTACAAAAGATAAAAGAATCGAGTACAATGTACATATACAGGGCATCATAAGAGACATCACGATGTCTCGACGGATTTCCTTCTATTACTTTCTAAACATGACGGAGAATCTCTCTCTCTCTCTCTCTTTCTTTCTTTAATATTCTCACAATTTCTATTTCGTTCATATTCCTCCGTTTTACGATTTTTTGTTCATTCATTTTCTCTCTTCCTTGTTCCTTATTTTCTCGGCTCTCTATCTAATCTTCTGTCCCTCTCTCTCTCTCTCTCTCTCTCTCTCTCTCTCTCTCTGTCTCTATTTCTTTCTCTCTCTCGTTCTCCCTCTCTCTCTTTCTATTTTTCTTTCTGTCTCTTTTGTTCTCTGATTGACGCAGATCAGAATTACGATGTAAAGATTAGGCTTCGTCTGGATAAGAGCTTTGCGAGCTACGCTTCTTCTTATGGTTACCGTGATGTTGATGATGATGATGATAATGATGGTGCTGTTGTTGCTGTTGTTGTTGTTGTTGATCCTGATGTTGCTCGGTTCGCATAAGAGCGTCGGTTTCCGGCTGATTCTGATGACCGACTAAAAGGTCGAGAGTACCTCTCGGTACCATCGCCTGATGATGGTGTTCGTTCGTCGGTGGGGGAAGGGGAGTAGCTACGGGTGAATCCGCTGGTAGGGGAACGCAATGTAGGACGTAACATCTTACGGCGGCCAGGATGATACCTAAAAGTTCCAAAGTTTTTCTTTATTTTTGACAAGGATCTTTGTTATGGTTTCATTTGAAAGAATTCTCTAGAAAGTTAAGCAATCATTTTCGTTCCTTTTTATGTTCTTTTTTGTTTTTTTTTTTTTTTTTTTTCTAAGAAAAATAATAGTACCACTAAGAGAGGGGGGAAAAAGTGTATTGTTGTTTCAAAGCTCTGTTATTTGGTGGTCCATTGTTATAAGGGATCAGAAATTTTTTCATACTTTTTTAAAATAAATTCCAAGAGAAAGCCAAGAGATAAAGCCTTAGAGAGATACAGATTAATCTAACGAAAGATAAACTTACCCAGTAAGAGCAAAGTGGCGCCTGCGATGAGTAAAGCGAGTCTGTGGTCGGTGGTCGTTGCCCCCGGGGCAAGTTGGACAAGACCAACTACAAGTACCACTGCGCCCAATAACAGACACACTACGACTGCGTGCAAACCGGATATCTGCGAATAACGACACTGTTAGGAGGTCTAGCGAATTGTTGAGAGGAAATCAAATTGAATTGCGTCAGGAAACTATCGAAAGATTCCGATGGAATGACGTCTCTTCAACTATTTATTTTCATTTTAATCGAACGTGCTTTGGAAATATTGACAAAAGAGTTCTAAGTTTATGTGTATCGATTGAAATAATATAATAAAGTATCTTGCGTTGAGGTACGTTTAAGTGTATAAAATGATTCACCTCGCATGATCGTTGAATATAACTCTTGTATGCTAAAAGATTCTTTGAAGGTGCTGTTTAATGAAAGTTTTAATATTTTAATCTTTTTAATCGATCTACCTAAAGAAAAAGAGAAAAAGAGAAAGTCAAGGCTATTGATTGTTAAACATTAAATGAAATCTAATTTCGTAAGGAAAAATTATGAAACCAATTGTCGATTATAATAAATCATTTAAAAGTAAAATAAAATTTTCTGATACGTGTCAATGATCTCGCTCTTCGTTCGTTCGCCCGAGGAAATACTTTCTCAAGGAAAAAAAGAGAAAAGAAAAAAAGAAAAAAAAAAAAAAGAAAGAAAGAAAAAACGAAGACTTTAAATAGGTCAAGAGAAAACGGAAATGTCCTCGTTGTGAAAGATTAAAACGTAGATTACCTTGCCGCAAAGATAAAGCTCTGGAAGCGGATCTAGATGACTATTGTGTCCGTGGGGACTAGGTGTAGGTGGTGAACCTTGAAGGGGTGGCATCCATTGGCCGCCCAAATAAAGCTGACTCGGTCGTTTTAGCCTCTTTTCTTGTCTTCTACGTTCATGGCGTACAGCCACTGCTGGCATGGCCCCGATCATTCTGCAAACGTGTAATCGTGAATAATTACGCTTATAAACACCGATCGATCGACTTGCCATCGCTCCATTACTGTTTTCTTTTTGCTTTTGATAGGATAAAGAGAAACACGACGGGGAGAGTGAAAGAAAAATAGAGAGAGAGAGATAGATAGATAGATAGAAGGGGGGGGGGAGAGAGAGAGAGAGAGAATGCCCACGCCTCTATCATTTTTGAAATGAAAAAGAAAAGCGGAAATGAATCGTTCAACTTGGCAATTTTTCAATTCTACTATTCTACCTTTTTTTTCCAATACGTTTTCTTTTCTCATAGAAAAGACAATGATCGTTTCTCGTTTAGTTTAACTCATAATAATGTTATTTATTATGTACAGGACATAAAAAAAAGAAAAAAAGAAAAAAAAACGGGATAAGACAAATTATTAATTACTTCGATAGAAAATAAACGTTAATCTCTTCATCGATAATTGAAATTTCCATTGATAATGTTCGTTACGTTTTTTGCTTCTAATATATACCATTACCTTTTACGACTTCAATAGAATTATTATCGAGATGACAACTATCTATATATCTATATCGAAAGATCAATAATATAACGAACAAAATTGTAATTGGTTTTCAATCGTATCACCGATGTAAAATTATTTATTCATAGTTGAATTGTTATCGAGTGATACTGGTGATGACGTCAGTGGTAATCGATTTTCGCAATGAACGAAGCAGGGAACGTGGTTTCCTAAATATGCAAATATGTATTTTCTAAATATGAAATGTTTTTATCATCTTGATAAATGTAAACATGCCTATCTACATACTCTGTATAACTGTTCTATAAACCCTATCGTGTGTTCAAACGTTCGAAGACCTAAATATACCGACATAATATTGTACATATACAATATATATATATATATATATATATATATATATATATATATATATATATATATATACTTATTTGGTATAACCAGCGAAATGCTAACCAACTAATATTCTAAACCAAGATAATAAAAAAACGTGATTATAAAGACTATAAATCGAGAGTAAAGAAAAAAACGATACATCGTGCGATCGAAGAGACTCGATAAGAGAACTTGGTCGAAAATGAAATTAACGTCCAAACAAAAAAAGAACACACAAAAAAAAGAGAGAGAGAAACGAAAAAAAGAAAAAAAAAGAAACATAAAGGAATGAAAAATAAATAAAAAAATAAGAAAAAGGAATTGACCAAATTGATCCAATGCAATCTGATCATGAAAATGTTAAAATAAATCAAAAATGATATTACAGGGATATCTCTTCCGATAATCGTCACGTACATACCTTCCCTTATCAGAATGTCGTTCTCGTTTGTAATGATCATCGGCGTGGAAAGAAAAGTTGTACAATGAAATGTTGGATTTAACGAGAGGCGGAAGCGCGCAGGGTAGTTTCGTCGGTGGGTTCGTGAACCGCGAGACGGTATGAACTTTGGTGACCTCTGGTGACCCCGTCGGTCGATACGTCACTATATCCAGCCTTTGCCAACGACAGGCTCCCCTGGGCGCTCGAAAGCAAGCGTTCGCGAAAGCTTTCATGGGGGTTCTGCACCGTGAAGTAAAAGGGAACCAACTTTTAAGCGTAATCGTCCAAATCATGTCGTTCCCTTTTCTCTAGTATTATACTTGCTATCCATTAAGAAATAGTGAATAGCAGAATCGATTTATCAAATAGAGAGAGAGAGAGAGAGAGAGAGAGAGGAGAGAAGAGAGAAAAAACAGAAAGAGAGAGAGAGAGAGAGAGAGGACGCTGCTGATCGCAACGTAAAGCTTAAAAAAGGAAGAAAGAGGAGGAGAAAAAGATTGAGAGAGAGAGAGAGAGAGAGAGAGAGAGATGGGGGAGAGGGAGAGGGAGAGGAAGAGGAAATATCGATTACTGCCTTATACTACTTCGGTTCCGCACAGTTTTGGATTTCAAGCTTGCTTCCTGTCTTCCTATTTCCATCCATCTAAATCTTACGCTGTCATTTATTTTGTACAGAGAACTCGGTCAAAATATTTCATTGAATTATAAACGCTATTATTATGGTAAATTGAACGACACTTCGAGTGGATTATGAAAAATGAAGTTATAATGTGATCATGATAATCGTCATAATGTATTTCAATTGGATCGGAGGAATGTTGAATATTTTTTTTTTTTTTCTTTTTGTTTTGCCTTCCCTTTTTCCGAGGTTTCATCGTTCAAACGATGAAATCGATAGAAACGAAAGAGATCAATGTAATAAAGGAAATTTCATTAGTAATATTACAATGTGGAATTTGCATGAACCTTACGAGAATGAGCACGAGATAAAATCGAAAATCCTAATTATATGGAATACTAACATATCAAAAGGATTACTAATATACCAATGTTCTCTTTTTATTTTATTGATATTCATTGAGGGAACACGTTGAATTTTGATCGAAGAAATATTAAAATTTGTTTTCTTTATAAACAATATAAAAGTTATTCAAAATAGAATTCATTCGATAATTTTAATATACCTACAATCAAACTATAAAATAAAAATCGTTTAATTCCTTATTTTCAGAAGTATTTCTCTTCTTGGAAAAATTAATAATCTTTTTGATTTACTTTGGAAATGTCATTAATGGAATAATTATTTTTTCATATAATTGTATTTTCAATACCGACGAATAGAATTTTCGTTTTCCCGTATATAACAAAAGCATGATTTTTTTTTCCTTTTTTTTTTTTTTTTAAACACACCTACACATTCGTATAACATTTTCACATTTCGTAGTTTACATTTGTTTACTTATTTTTTCTTTTTCTTTTTTTTCTTGTATTTTTTATGAAAACATACAAAAAATCTATATTCCACAATATATTTTGTTAAAAATTGCGAGAATGAATATATAGTTAATTAATATTAATTGTATAAAGTTCATCGTTGAACGTGGCAGTATTATAAGATGAATCATTATGAAAATGGCAACATGCTGGATCCATGCCATGGAAGTATGAGTCATACTTTTGCATCTTCCTAGAATCATGTCAAAGGAGATTCAATCGATAGAAAGGGGTTTGTTCATTACTCAAAATAAATCCGTTATCGTTCTTGCGTTAAATCTCGTAATTAGAAAGAATATGATTTCCATAATTCCAAATGAGATTTCAAAAGAGATTTTCCAAGAAAATTATATTCCTATAAGTCTTTATTAAGCCTTATCATCTCATTCGAAAGCTCGAACTATCTGATTATCTGATATACTCAACAAGTTTTATAATGAATAAATAAATGAAAAATTTTAATCTATAGTTAAATAAAACTTAATAAAGAGAATATCTACCATGATATAAGTTATTATCTTATATAATCAAAAAAGTAGAGCCATAATATAATCGTTGAAATAAATGTATACTTATGAATGATAAGTAAGTACATTTTATATATCCAAATCAATAATAAAAGAAAAAAAAAAAATCACTATTTGCCGGTCATCATTTTGTTCATATGCCCTGTCTCGAAAGCTTTCTCAATTGTTATAGCTATCGTTACGTTAAAGTAGGACAATGGATTTCGAATTTCGACTATGCCATGTTCCCGTAACGTCACCATCCATAAAGAAATATCTAAAACCGAAACAAGTTGGTTTTAGCCGTCTCGGCGCCGAATCAGCAACTACGAAGAAAGAAGAATAGAGAGTAAGAAATACTGTTCATGTCAGATTCATTGTTTATTTTTCTTTTTGTCTCATCGCTAACCAAAAGAAAACTCATGACTTTCCATCCTCTATAGAAAATATATTATGAAGATTTTCATTTACTCCATGTAAAATATCATACAAAAATATTTTGAACAAATCGCCCAACTCCAAGTGTATAAACGTTTAGATATATGTATCTTTAAAGTACGCATTCCTCAAGACTGTTGCTTTTCAGAAGATTAGTATATACCATTCTACGGAGAATATTATAGTTCAGGCACTTAAAAAAAAAAAAAAAAAAAAAAAGAGAAGAAGAAAAAAAAATGGCCCTGTCACCCGAGAGATTTAAGATTTAGAAAGATTAATATTCGCAAAATGTTAATACAACTACGGTAATTTATTTCTACGGACTTAACTACAACTATAAATGAATTATTCAGAATAAAATATTGTCTGGCATCTATTTTCTCTTCATTTCGATAAATCCCCTCACGTTTTCGATTCTATAAATAAAACATTTGAAACATTAGAGTTTGAAATATAAACAGACAAAGATAATATAACGTTCTCGACGAAACTCGTAGGTACTTGTACCAATTATGGTATTCTATCGAATCGTTTATTTAAACTTTAACGAAGGAAGTTTGAAAGATATCCATTTGCTTCTTGAAAATATGAAGATCAAGACATACGCGGAAGAAACGTTTCCGATTGTGTTATACGTTTTTCCCATTCGGTTGCCCTCAAATACGAACTCTAAAAGCGAACAAGTTTCACAAAACTGTTTACGTCAAAAGGAAAACCACGTGACGTTGCAAAATACAGCTGTGAAATTTTGAATCTGAAAATACAATTAAGAAATGCACTAAACATTCAAAGATAAATAGTTATCTCGAAATATCTTCGAATGAACGATTAAAAAAAAAAAAGAAAAACAATGAATTGAACGAACAAATAATTATTATGTTATTAAAAATAATTCCTTAACAAATTTATATTTGAACGTTATTTTTAATATTGACGATAATTCGATCTCGACATTCGATTAATTATCGATAATTTGAAGGTGTAAGAAAATGTTTATATATAACGAAGAGAGAATCTCTTAAGCAAACTTTTCTTTTTCCTTTTTTTTTTCTTTTTTTTCTCTTTTTTTTTCCTTTTCTTTTTGTTTTTCATTTAAAGCATTTAAAGTATTCTTCATTAGTGCTCCTTAAAACGAGAATGAGCGTAATTTCCTCTAATTGTCGATAGTAGGTAGTAGTCTCGTATTATCGATAAAAGCTGGAGGAAATTGCAATTAGAA